CGGTTAAGCGTACAAGTATTGAGGATCATTTTTAATATTCATAATTTCATGCGGAGCGTGCATCGAACATATCATTACACATAAGCGAGAGGCTGCGTCGGCTGGTACATATGAAATTCAGCGTTGACACGACAAGGAAGGATGAATTGTACAGAGTAGGACTAAGGTTAAGAACACGCACGAAACAAATAATTTGATTTTGAATTTAATTAAAAAAGTATTTTCTTCGAATTTTAAATTTGTTTATTAATACATATATAATAGTAATAAATGTATCTCACTATAACAATCAGTTTTCATATTACAACTGGATAATTCCGTCATCAATTTCTCATTATTTTTAATTTCTTTCATTATTTTATATTGCAATGAAAGAACTCACTTTTTTCGAAAATTGTAACAACGTATTATCGCTTGTTTACATATAAAACCGATTGTTTTTTTGCACAAAATGTTTTAAGGTTGTGTTTTTGATATTAATAATAGGGGACTACTTTCTTGTAAGTTTCATTTTTTCTTTGCTAATCTGTATAGGTGTCATTTTTAAATATATTATTAGGCTTTCCTTGTCGCCACTCGATAATGTTTTGTGAAATCTCAATATGCCTAACCGCAGATTTTTTAGTCTCTGTTTGTGCGCTAACCTGAATAAAAACCAACTGATCATTATGTTAATTCGACGGTTTTGGAGCTAGACTTGTTCGGACTAATGGCGGATTAGGAATATAATCACGTCGACTCCCATCTGTCCCGGTCAGAAACAATTTGCCTCTGAATATAGGTCTCGAAATATTTTCGCGAACGCCACGACGGATTTTGTTCCTTTTTACAACTCATAAAATTTCGAGACGTTGCAAAGGAAATTTATAAATCTTTGCATGCAACCTAACTTCTTGGAAAGTATTCAGTATATAAGTATATTAGACTAAAAAGTACTATTTTTACTTTTAATCGAATCTAGGTTATGAGTATTTTCAGATTAGTTTCACAATAGATTTTATAAATAAGAGTTTTTAAAATCTCTCATTAACATAACTAAAAGTAAAAAAGAAATGGTAGATTTTAAAATGCTAATGGAAACCTAATGTCAGTGAAATTAATTGATCTCGAACTTCCTAATTAATAACTTTTTTTCAATCTGGCAACAATACAACTTTGTGAATCATAATGTTTTAATACCACCTGCAAAACCACGTCTCGATCGTCATTCAATGTAATTGCTGACGCGGTTTATGTGTAAACTCACTGAATTCACTCCGTCGGTAAAGGGGTACCTACTTTGAAGAAATCTCCTACAAAACAATGTGAAAATGTGGGGTTTGAGACCGCCTTATGGTATTTTAGTGTTTTATAAATGCCATAGATTATTTTTTGGTTTCAAATCGTTGCTAGAGGACGGTTAATTAAAAAAGAGAGTCTTCAACACTAAGCTATCAAGCACTAATCTAATCAGTCTTTGGCCGATAGTTGTACTTTACATATTTGCAATGTATTGCGCATTCAAATCGATGACATTTCGTCATTATCTATCCCTAAGATCTACCTTAATTAGAAAAAATACATTTTCTTAGCATAATGTCAAAAGCCTCATTAAAATGCCTCCGTTACATCTGTCAAATTAATAGCAGAATCGGTAATACCGTAGCACGGGAATTATGCAAAAAAAATAACATGAAACTACAACGAATGAGCATCGGAAAATTGTTACTTATTTTCTGGTATAAATTGGCCGGGTTGTAATTGGTTCCGAACCGCAGCCCAGACGATTTGTCGTCTACAACGCTTTATCATTACGCTCCCACAGCTGGGAGTGGACAGACACTGTCTATTATACATTAAAAGCGCGTTTTCTCGTTTCCTTCTGTTTTCTGGTTTTCCTGTTCGTTATGAAAATATTGAGGTGTTTACTTCGACATTACTCATACTTCTTTATAAAATACCATTCGACGGTCCCGAATGATTAGTTACAAATTATATGTACTCTGTTATACAAACAGGAATATAAGTGAAATTGTAAAAAGTGCAGTGGTCATGAAAATTACGAAATAACTTTTAGTGATTGAAACAATTGAGGATAACGGCTTCAAGTTACGGAGATCACTCTCTTCAATACCAACAGGTTGTTTATATTATTTTTCATTTTAAAATTATTTTTCTAACCTAACCTATAATAGAATAGTCTCAGAAATCTCTTTTACTGCTACACAAAACATTTCCCGTCCTGTATTTTTTCGTCATCGAAACTTGTACACAGGCATTTGAGGCATATATTTTTAAAAAGAAAGTTTTTTTTTGGATTATCCTATTATCTTTTTGGCGCCTAGAATGTGTCGGCTGCTTTAACGATCGGGTAGTCAAAAGAATCTAAATGCATAATATTAATGCGGCGAAGCGACGCTCGAATATCATTAAAACGTTTAATATCAACATGGAGCGGACATCATTATGGTAATAAGTTGCTGGACTTATTATTTTTTTTAGTATTACTATCTAACGATACTTATGGACGTTCTGTATAAGCGGAGAGATATTTATTACATAGATAGATTTTACATATTTCGCAATAAAAACTATATTCAATAACCCATAGATGAATGTATCATAGACTAATTGGCATAATTTAAAAAGGCTGGCTGCATCTGTTATGTCCTCAACCTGACTTTAGACTTATATGACGGCATGATAAAATACATTTTAAACGAAAAGTAGTATGTATGGGTACATAATATTAATATTAAAACTAGGTAATAGGTAAATTATATATCCGTACGTTGACTTTATTCACGCTACAACGACCTGAACTTTACTGAAAATGAATAAAAATTGTAACGAGTGATAATAACGTCACATTAAGATATCCCCAAAAAAAAGCATCCATTACAACTAAATCAAGCAAAACGTTTTAAAATTACTTTAAGTTTCTTAAAGATCAAACTTCTATGATCTATTTTTAATGATGGCCGCCGGGGACGCCATTACGTTCTAATTTCAAATTCAAATTTCGAAAACCGCACCGGCGCAGGCGCCGCACGTCTGTCGCGACTGCGGTTTAAAAAAAATATAGTAATTTTTGTTTCCGGGACAAATAAGTATATAGTGTGGCTTTCGAGGGTGGGGCAATTTCAACCCCACAGTCGATGCACTAGCACATTCGATTTAATTATTGTTATGTACGAAATCGATTTGAAATCGACAATTTTGTTTTTATCTTCTATATTTAGACCGCGGATTTGAAGCTAAGCTTTGGACTTTTTGCAACTAGTTCTTGATAACTGACAGTTAGTGGTCACATAACGGATGCGGTAAACGCACTAACTGGTAGCTTTAAGATAATCAAGCTCTGTAGTTAGGCTATCCTAGTCTCTAGTATCGGGTTAAACTATTAAAAATCAGTTTGACTATTAATATTAAATTATTAATGGAAAATGTATGAAAATGAAGGCGAAAGATTGTAGGTCCATCCATGATGTTTGTTACTCTTTCACGCAAATACTACTGAATGGATTTTAATGAAACTTTACAATAATATAGATTATACATCAGAATAACACATAGGCTATAATTTATATATATGTTTTATGTATATCTGTCTTTCTGTCTGAATATTACGCCTTAAGCCTATTCTACGCAGACTTAGTCGCGGGCAGCAACTAGTAATATATAAAATCACTGATATATTAAAGTACCTACTATAATATTTTATACTTTAATTTTTCACCAGTAAAACCTGAAGTTTTTAAAGAGAAAGCGAAATGCTTGTAAATGAAGTTTTGAACAAATCACTTATTTAGATGTTTACCATTCATATTTCTTTGTCACGGAACATTGAATATAATTCAGGTTTAGAGTGTAATTTTGTATATTATCGAAACTTTAATTTAGACTTCTTTCACCTTAAAAAGCTGTAGCAGACCGGAATCTTACGACTTAATCTCCATCATATTTTAGTTCCCTTCATGATTAAACTCTATTAGGATGCCTCTTTTAAATTTTTATTTACGACTAGCTGTGCCCGCGACTTCGTCCGCATGGAATTTAAAATAAAAGTAGCCTAAGTTACTCCTTATTACATCAGCTATCTGCCAGTGCAGCTATAGCCGTTTCAGAGATTAGACGGAACAAACAGACAAACAGACAGGCAAAAATTGTAATAAAAATTATTTTGGTATGCGTACCGTGTAATATATCCATATGCATTTAGTAAAAAGCGGTTATTTTAATATTACAAACAGACACTACATTTTTATTTATCTGTATATATGTATAGATTATTTTTATTTATGATTAACTATAAACACATTCTCTTTTTCTCCTGCCCTTATCACAGCTAGGTGTTGTCGGCACAAGATTTTTTTTAATGTGAATGATGTTGTTTATAGTACTGACTATTTGTTTAACAACCGGCAGCCTGCCTGACGTCTACCCTCCTTGGACGCTAATTGGAATCCCTAAGCATCCAGATCCGGACAAATTTTATCGGTGGGGCACAAAAATAATTTCTCCTACGGAATCGGACCCACGAGCCCTGGCACCGTTACCAATATCCTAGCAACCGTAATCTCAAATGTTTTCCTTTTCTTATTAAAAGGACTTATGTAAAATCACACACAAACTAAAGTATACAGTATAATTAGATTCGGAACAATTATCCGTGGACAGCAAAATAATGACAAGAAAGTGCAAAAGGTATAAAATACAATCGAACTAAGGTTTCCGCAATATAGAAAAATACTCTATTGTTACTTAGGTAAGCATTATATCTAATGCAAGGCAAACAGGCCCTACCTTTTATTTATTATTTTGTATCTCATCAGTTTAAGTCTTGTTTTTTCTTTAATGAACTTTATTTCTTTTTTTTTGTTATTAAACAAAATATAGTTCCGTATGCGGATCATACCCACAACAAAGCGTCATGGCAGCAAACGGGAAACCCACGCCATTGCAAGACAACTTCTACCCAACAATAAACGTTGTTACTTTGAATGCAATCATTAATAACAATGGATCTCAACACGTGCCTATCGGTGCAATTAGGTGATCGCCGTTCGCGGGTCAACAGCCAGCTGATCCAAAAAAAGAGGTCGCACAACAAAGGGCCTAACAAGGGCAAGTTTCCAGTAGTTTGGGCGGCGAAAGCGTCCTCCGCGGCGTTCGGCAAAGGACCAATTTGCGTATTGTGCTCACGGCGCGGTGAAATTGCGCGGGAACGGGGCGGCATTGGGGAATCAGATCGCTTTGTGATTGACCAGTCGCCCGTCAACCGGGGTGGTGGGTTGACGCGTCCGGGAAGGTCGGGAAGAGACGCGAGGGCAAACTCCACGGTCTGCACAGCTCTTGGCTTTGGTACTAAAACAACAACGCGTCTGCCGTATCACATTTAAACGTCGAAATCTCTCTTAATAGGCCACAACTCCGTTAAAATTCTTTATGCTAAAGGATTTGCCCTGGATAGTTGGCGCACTTTTGGCTTACAGTGCTTCAGCAGTGGACGGCAATAGGCTGATATTGATATTGAAATGAATTTTAAGCACGTTCTATCTTTGACTAAATACGGAAATTATTGACATACTTGAAACTGTAACAGCTAAAAAAAATATTGAACAAGAGTTCAAATCCGCAACACGCTTTACAGGGCTTCTCTAAAAATTAAAAATATTTTAACACGTTATATACACACACACTATTATTAAACATATGCGATAATTACAAAATAATGATACGGGCAGAAAATCAGCGAATCGATTAGATCCTATCCAATGTGCGAAGACGTCCACACAGAATGTAGGACTTATTAGAGCGCTACACCAGTAAGGGTCAATAGACAGTTGACTTATTGATTGTACTAATGTCAAAATAGTTGAAATGTCCAATTACAATAAAATGTACCTATACGAACGTTCCTTTATAAGTTTTTTTTTTTTTTTTAATTTAGCAACCGATTCATTTTGAACGATTTCTGGGATTTTGTTGTAAAATTTTTGGTACAGAAATCAGAAACAGAAATCGTTCAAAATGAATCGATTGCTAAATTAAAAAAAAAAACTTATAAAGGAACGTTTGTGTGTTAGATGCTAGCTATTATAGACGTATTAGTGATTATTTAAATGATAACACACTCTGGAAATGAATCGCTCCAGACTCTTTCAAGTGGAATTTAATAAACTGTATGTATGTACATCTCTTAAATTTGTCAAATTACTTTTAAAAAAATGTCCCGCTAAGTTTCTTTCACCGGTTCTTCTCAAGTCAGCAGTTTTTTTTTCCAAACCGGTAGTAGTGTTTGTATGTGAAATGTTTCTATAATGAATAAATATATTTTAATTTGAATCTGAAGAAGGTGACGCTGCGTGATTGTTGCCAAAGTTTGATTAATTTCGCGCGAATCCATGAAATCTTGCTAGTACTGCGTCACATTCACTAGAGCTCTGTATGTGATTCCCGCACTCCAGATATCTAGCGACCCTATATCCATATGTAAATAAATGAAAACCTATGTCTCATCCAGTAGGCTGAGATTACTACCAGCACAATTCGTGCATGCCTCGTCTGTGCCACATCTATGAACGTATAGGAAGGTATTCTTCGGCTACTGATCTACGCTACGCTCTCTCAGTATATCCGCATATATGTAAGGTGTCTCAGAACCTTTCATCTAGATAATAAAAAAAAAGAATTATTCCCTTCTATTGTAATTTAGTATGATACATTACATTAGACTTGTAAAACATTAGACTGTAATTAGATAAATGGACCGGTAAAATAAGAGGTCGCTGAAAATACTTTGGTATATCCTTTAATATTTCAAATTGATTCGTGAAATTGTGGGATATTGTAGATGATTTATTAATACATAAAGTAAATACATAAACATTTTGCATACGTACTATCTAATTTCAAAATAAAAATATAGTTTTTGTTCTGGTAATACTTTTTAATGCCTCATCGAAACCGTATCATTACATAAAGACGATGTGGAATGTTCTTCACCAAAATTTTTGTTTGATTTTCGTCTACGTTTTCCTATTCGTCTAGTGACGTTATATAATTTTTCAGCTCGTGTAAGGCAGCTGGCACTTGAAAGCATTGTCCAACACAACCCCAAACTCGTCCCATCCTAGTTCTACGGGATTTAATGCTGGTCAGTCCATGCAGGTAATACCGACACCTTATTAGACAGCATTACTATGCAAAAATGGAATTTGCGTCCATATTTACAAAGAAACAACAAACATATTCGTTGTAAATATCCTCTACGTATTAAAGAGCCATCAGAGACCCGTTTTCTGTCACGGCTAACTCCGTATGACTCTATAAATATATTTAAGCGATTGTCGCCAGTAGATACATGGTGCTGCTAGCCACCGGCGCTGTGGTGACAACGCCAACCAGCAACAGGTGCAAGGCCACTATGGTTATGACATTCTTGACAGACACCTGAGTGTCCCTATGGAAGAAGCCGTGGATGCATTTTCTTATTGCCTTCGCCTCAGCCTTGTTTTTCTTCAAGCATCCCAGTATAGTGCCCAACGCACACGTTCCGTCAGCCATAATTTTACATCGATGTTAGATTACTGAATATACATATGTACAATTAATGTTCATATGTATATTCAGTAATGTAATTATTACAGTAATTAATTATTTAATGTACAATTTCTCAAAGATATCAAAGTAGATTGAAAAACATTATTCTTCAAAATAAGATACCTTCCATAGATAAATACTGATTGACACATAATAATTATACGAGCGTTCGGTAACTGATCACGAAACTGTGCAAAAATTTCGCATGGGTCAGCTGGTCAGTTGCTAGTTTTCATTCATGTGATGGTTTAGTTTAGTTAGTTTAGTTTTCTGCAGAACTGAAGCTAGTTGGCATCAATTTCAAACCGTCCCCTTACATAGGTAGATCCATTATATATCTCCACCGAATGGGATCTTTTATTCAAAGCATGGTTGTTTATACCGATCCCCTTGTCTTCTATGGTAAATCTTCATCATTTCCGCCTGTTAGAGTCCACTGCTAAACACAGGCCTCCCCCGAACACTGCCAGGAAGCAGGATACTGAGCCATCTGCATCCATCGACTTCCCACGCATTTGAACTGGTCGTCACTCCATTTAGCGGGGGTTGACCTATGTCCTACATCTGTTGGAACTCATGATGTATAATAAAATAAAATCTGAACTCATCAGAAGCCATAACCAGGATATTGTTCAAAATCTTCATGTGTCCTAATCGTGACCTGGCAATTCGATGTTCGATGATGATGTAGCTCTATCACCTCTTATCAACTATGGCGTTATGCACTCGAGCGACGATCCTAACATAACATTGAATGCCGTAACTGAGTTGCCAATTCCCATTATGCAAAAGTTTAAAACAAAAAAAAAATATAAGCATACCATGGTAACGTTTACCACGTTACCATGGTACATTAAATAGATTGTTATTCGTTATTAGCTAATAATTAGTGAATGTACCGAATATTATAAGGAAAACTTGCTTATTTTTTAACTTCTAAGCGTATGCCGTGAAAGCTCATTGTGAATGCCGTGATAGCTCATTGTCCTCATCGTCGCTTTTAATTCAATATACTCGAGCAACCTGAGTTCGATCCCCGGTGCTGGAACAATGAAATTGGTGACGTACTCAACTGTTAAGGAAAAAATTGTGAGAAATCCTGCATATTTTGGAAATTTATAAGCTGTTATTTTTTTTAAGTGTATGTATGTCCTACATGTTAGGCCAATATCTCTTAAAATTTACCGTTCTCTTTTGTTTTACTAAAATAATGGTTCGTTCTACTGAATGTTTTGATCTTGTATATGTAACAAGTTTAAAATAAACATAAATAGAAAAGATTGATTATTTTTTATCTAAGCATAAGGAATATTATTAATCAATTCGTTTACTCTTTTTAATCATTTTAATATCTCCGTCATTGTGAGGCATCCTTAAGTACTTTGGTAATACTGTAATGAAACAAATCTAATAAAAATTATTAAACCACTGCGCACCAAACTATAAACAAACATGGTACCCATTAAAACACCATTTACGAGGATACTCTGTCAACTAAATGTACAAACAGAATTAATGTTCACGCCATTTGTCATTCGAGAAGCCATGGAAAATATTACCGCTCTCTCGTGCCATTGTAACAAGACCCCTTCTTTTTAATAAATCAACTTCACTTTAAAGCTCCAAACTATCTGGTTAAGTATCTCATAACATTATTGACTAGTAGACTTGTATACTTGTTGCCGTCTCTGTTACCCTCATATTCTGACAGAGAGGTAACGAGAGATGGATAATGAAAGAGGGTCGTGCGGCATATCATTATAACTTAAAATGATGTAATGATAAAACCTAACCGTCTCTTTCTGACTTGAACGTACAGTTCAGGTTAGAGGGAGACAAATAGAATGTTCGAACTGGACGACGATGTTTTATTATGTGCGTTTTTTATGAAAATATTATTACGAGCATTGAAGGGTTACATACGTGATCGTTTTTTCGAATGAAAAAATTTACACATACCTCACTCGGTTAGTTATTTCGAATGTAAATTAGTTGAAAATAAAGAAGACTGCGATACTGGATTTTATTACTATGTATTACAATCGATGTTTTTTTTTAAATCGTGTTACGAGTAATAACTGGCCGTATTATAATTTAGCTGATAAGTTTTTTCACAGCACAGTACGGTTTAAAGTGATTAGTTTTAAATTTCGAACGAGTTTTTGTTTTTCCTCGGATTTGACTTTCGCAAGAATACACGCCTTTAATATATTCCTCCGCCTTTATTCTTTTTATTTAGACAATACAAAATTACATTTTTTAAACTTGCATTATTTTTATATCTTAATATTAACTTTGAAATACATTTTCTTTTCGAAGAAAAGAAGAGATTATATTTTCTAAGTGTTGCCTTAATGCTCTAAAAGTGAAACTGACAGCTATAAGAGCGTTTATACTCGTAAGAGCTCCAGTGATAATTGCGACTTAATGAATTCAACAAACGATTCGAGATTATTCTTCATTACGAGCAAGAAAAGTGCAATCAAGTCTTTTTAATTTTGCCGGATGGATACACATAAAAATACCATACTTTTCATGAAGCTCGTTAACACCCAAGAAGTAATTGATCAGCCAATCTACCTCCACGTTAGACAAATTTGAGACGGCGAATTTTGCTCGTAAAAAATACCTCTGGTATAAATGATTTATTTAAGAACTATTTATTTAAAATTATGTAGTGTATTAAGTATCCTTGTAAAGTATCATCATTATCTCGAAAGAAAACCTAATGTATGAGTTTAATCTAAATCGCTAACCTCATTAATTAATAACCCGACCATTAGAACGCGTAAACTATCTATAAGTTATATTAAAATCTTTAGTAGTTAGTTAATATTAAAATGTGTGTTTCCTTGTAACGGGTTATTTCTGAAACTACTCGACCAATTCACCAACGAAAAGCTGACTTACAGCAAAGTAAGAGTTTTAAATTAAAATCGTTTTTCGTGTAGCAAAGCTCCGTATATGTTCATAAAATTATAGAGTTATTATAATTTATCGTTGTATTGCATTCTTGTCTTTAGTTTGTCCTAAAGTTGATTTTATACTAAACTAGCTGTTGCCCGCGTTTACTTCTGCGTAAAATAGGCTGAAGGCGTAACATTCAGACATTAAGCCAGATATAGATCAAAATATGTGTATAAATTATAGCCTATGTGTTATTCTTATGTATAAACTATATTATTGTAAAGTTTCATTAAAATCCATTCAGTAGTATTTGCGTGAAAGAATAAATAACATCCATCCATATATACGAACTTTCGCGTTTATAATATTAGTAAGGATTAAGTTATTTAATTACAAAACTTTTTTTTAAATAACCTTTGCCCTCACTACCAAGATCGGAAACAACGGGTAGGCTTGTCCGGGAAAGTAGCTTTACAGAACACCAGCGTGATGCAGTGCAATACATTCGCGTTTCGCTCGGAGATTGAGGTAACCGGGGCCCACTGTTTTAATGGTTGGCAACGCTACTGCAACCCCTTAGTTGTTGTAATCACTTAGCACCAAGTGAACCATCTGCTCACTTGCCAATTTTACGCACAAAAAATTAAACGCACAACTTCTTTGTGGAACGAGATGTCAACAGCGGTATTTCCGGACCGATAGGACATAATGACCCTCAAGAAGGGAGCCTACTCCTACCTTAAGGGCCGGCAACGCAATTGTGACTGAACCGATGTTGCAAATGTCCATGGGCGGCGGTGATCGCTTGCCATCAGGTAACCACCCGCTTGCTCGTTAGCCTCCTTTTCCAATAAAAAAAAGAAAAGCTAAAAACTATTATTACGTGTATCTCTTTTACAACAGTGTAACTATGTATGACCATGACATGCATAGTTATTATTATATTCTTATTTATTATTATATTCTTTATATATAGGGCCACGCAGCTGCCTCGGCTATTGCACGAATGGGAAGGCTCGTACGGGTAAATACCACGACCTCACAGAAGACCAGCGTAAAGTGTAAGTATAATTCTTTCGCGTTTCGTCTGGTGAGTGAGGTGGCCGGAGCCCAATTTTCAAATGGTTGTCAACGCATCTGGAACCTTCGGGTGTAGCAGATGTCCATGGGCGGCGGTATTCACTTAACATCAGGTGAACCGTCTGCTCGCTTAACAAGTTTTCACATATAAAAAACAAAATTATAACATATTGTGTGTAATGCTATACTTGATACTTGAGCATTCACTCAAATGGAAATTATATAAGACTATTTAATCTTTAACTCTCTTTTACTTTGTTATGAGGAATTAGCTTTATGCCTATACACAATAGGCAATAACAATATGATAATCTTTTTTGTAGATGAATTAACATATTTAATGAAATTAGTAACATCCATAAGCAAATAAGTGCATAATTTCAATAATTCTGTGAAACATTTCCTAATGGTAAGAGCCTATTAGAATGACGAAGAGTACATTGAGGACAAGGATGTGTGCACTAGCAAAGTCCCCTGGCTGATTTTATAATTTACAAATTTGTATGTTTCATTTAAAAAAAAGAGAGAAGTAGACCACAGATTCTTTTCGGTTCTTCTCGGGACATGTCTAAATTATTGACTTCTTGAATATTATATATATTAAATTAATATGTCTAAATTAGTGTGCCGGTGGTAATTTTTTGATGTTCAATGATAGCTTAAAACAAACCTATATCTATAACTTTAAAAAATCATTATGGGATACAATATAACAATTGTTAAATGCGCATTGTTTAAATATTCAATATTGATTTATTATATTGAGAATTATAATATTGAGATTCTGTCTATAACGATTTCAGTTGTTATTCAGTTAATTATAGTTTTAAAATGTGACTATTTTCAAGACGCATGCCGTCCTGTATGCAAGAATATTGCGTCGTATTCATAAATTCGGTAAATTAAGTTTGAAATCAACGATAAAGTCCTTATCAATCGTTTACATTAAAAAGAAGATATTTGCGTGTACAGAACCG